GCCAATCGGGACCGTGGTCAATTGCAACGTGGTCAATCGGGACCGTGATCAATTGCAACGTGGCCAATCGGGACCGTAGTCAATTGCAACGTTGCCAATTGGGACCGTGGTCAATTGCAACGTGGCCAATCGGGACCGTGGTCAATTGCAACGTGGTCGATCGGGACCGTGGTCAATTGCAACGTGGTCAAGTGAAAAGTCAAGTGAAAATGCTGGTCGACGACGACGACGACGACCGGGACGAAGACGACCGGGACGAAGACGACAAAGATGTTTCTTAATCCAAAATTTAACAAATCTGACTTTTGCATTGCAATACCTCCACTCCTGGAACACGTAGGAGAAAAGTAAAAACACTTTTATTATGCAAATCGTACCCAAGCTATCGATTAAGCGCAGTCTCAATTTCGTCGGATCAGCCGTTGTTGAGATCCGAAAATCTGAGGGCCCGTCAACTCGTGTACTCGCGTAAACTTACACGGTCGGTCTCGCACGCGTGTACTAGCTACGCTTACACTTGGCGCGAGACACTACCGTGTCTCGTGATCTTAACTAATATATGTTATTGCGAACAATATTACCAACAGCCCCAGTGGTCGAGCTGGTTAAGACGCCCGCACGGATTGAGGGAGGTCCCAGGTTCGAATCCTGGTTGGGATAATATTTTTCGCAATAAGAAATTTAATTACCAGATACGGTCAATAAAAATCATTGATGTTGTTTATAAATTCTATCGTCAACGAATAGAATCAGGTGATCCGATGGAGTTTGATACGCGGCAGAAATGCGCGTGAAGTTCGAATGAATGAATGGCATGTAGTTTGAAAGCAGCATAGGTTCGTTGTAGCTCTTTCCATCTATATCAATCGCCCATATATGTTTTCCGTATGCTATGTACATTCGTCTTTCCAACAGCAATATCGCGTCAACGTGTTTCAAGGCGCATAGATCCGGTGGAGCGTTTGGTGTTGGCTGCGGCGGTGGCGGTGGTGGTGGTGGTGTGGGATTCGTTTTCGGTGACACGTCGGTATTCTTAGCGCCGTACAGATTTTGTATGCTTATAACGGGACGAGGGTTTGCTGGTGCGAACGCATACATTATCGACGTATTGTTGGTACTATGATCTAACCCTAGCGCATGACCGATTTCATGAGTCAACATGTATAGCAAATACGATTTGTCCGATGGAACCTTATCTAGATCTAGATATACGTGCCACGGTTCCGTCTTGTCGACGTGAATCTCCGACGTGGAATCCGGCGCTCCATTGGGATAGACAGCGTGAGCCAGCGTGCCGCCGGGACCGTCGAAAGGGTTCGAGCACACTTCACCGTTTCGAGACTCGACGAACGTGTGACGGGCTTCGCGCCACGATATAAGAATATTTGGATTTGCAACGTCACGCTCAAATGTTAGCGCCGAATGCGTCTGCCACACATCGAACGCCGCCTGAGTCGTATCCAAGAGCGGTTTGTTGGCCACGTAAAAATTCCACGTTAGATGTCTTTTCGGCCACTTACATTTCTGTTCACCCTCCTCTCCGAAATTCACTATGTCGCGTAGACCGCATCGCGATTTACTCATCTGGTTTAGAGTTTCGTTGTTTATCGTGCCGGTAACGGGTAATTTGTAGTACTCTTGAAAAAGGCTGATTGCGTGTTGAAGAACCAATGTATCCTCGCTGTTCGCTAACTTATCAAACTTCTCGTTTAAATAACCGTATCTCTGCAGATATCGTATTACCATTTCGTTATTCTTTTTCCCCGCCGCTCCATCGTTCTCTTCGACCACCACTCTCTCGGTA